GGCACTGGGGAGCTGCGGGCCTGTGTCCAGCTGGAGCGCACGGGGCCGTCTGAAGGGGCAGTTGCTATGCATTGGTTGCTGTCTGCCTGCAGGCCGTGGGCCAACCCTGCCAGCTCTTCCAAGTCTTCATGCATTGCTGGGAATCAGAGTTTTAAAATATTGACAGTGGATTCAGTTCTTTTCAAAACACTGTGCCCATTGCTCTGGATCAAACAAACACCATCCCACACAACACTCCAGTTGTGATCAGTGGATTAAAGCAACACTCCTTGGTGAATGAGGCTTCTTTTGATGGTGCTTGCATTTGAAAAGAGTTTTGTTGGAGCAATTTAGCTTCTAATTAATGCAGTCCGTGGGGGAGATGTTTTTTCATGGAGGCATCTTCTTGTGCCTGCTCCGGGTCCCTCAGCTTCAAGGAATGTTGGCTAAAGAGAGTGGGAAAGTGGGATGCAGTGTGGGTGACGTCACCTTGCAGCCTGACCATGCCTCCTCCGTCCTCTCTGCACCAGGATATGGAAGGGGAAGGCTGTCACATGTGCCTTGTGTGATCCACCCAAGTCGTTACGAATCATTTTCTAAAAATCCTTGCAGAGTGGGTAATGGGTATCTGAGCCACGTAGTGTTGGGGCTGTTGTAAAACAGGTCCGCTTCCAAATTGCAGCCTTGATCATGTACTCCCTGGGTGGGAAAGGGGAGCTCTCCACAGTAAAGAACTCAGTTCTTGTCCTCAGATATGTGGTGGTGTGATGTGATGAGCAGACTTTATACTGAGAAAGGAATTTTGGAGGAATACAGAATCCAGCTAACTCAGTAGGAGTGATTAAAAAATACTGGAAGTGTGTGGTAAGGCAGATTCTCTTGATAGAGGAAATTCTCCAGGTCACCTGTGGTTTTTTAATAAGCAGCATCCCTTTGCATTAACCTCAGTGGTGCTCAGCCTTGGCTGCTTGGGGAATCCCTGTGAACTTTAAGCACTGTGTGTACTTGGGCTCAGCCTCAGAGATTAGGCTTTAATTGGTGTGGAGTCTGGTGAGGGCATCTGGACTTTCAACAGCTCCCCCACTGACGATGGTTGAGAATTACTACTCTAGTCTGTGAGTTTTAGACTTCACTGTGCATCAGAAGCACCCAGGAGCTCGTTAAAATGCAGATTGCTCGACTTTGCCCCCATGGACTGAATCCTGGGTTCAAGGGGGAGCCCAGGAACCTGTATTTTTAAAAGCTCTACCTCCAGCGAGACTCAGGTGATCATTGGCTTAAGTGCTTCATCACAGGTGCCCATATAGAAAATACACAGATAGGTTATTTCATTATTTGCAATTAATACATATAAATACTTTAGTGTCCTACTTTTGACAAGCAGTTGAATGGGAAATCAATTTCCTGAAATGGATGTCAGTTTAGGCTAAAAACGTGTGATTACCTAAGTTCTTACTGCTAGAGAATTCGGACTGATAGGCCATGTTTTCCAGAGGAAGTGGGTGCAGAACTGGGTCCTGTCAGTGTCAACGCGGATGCATCCGGGTGTGTAGCCGTGCCTTTTGGTTAAACCCAGGCTTTCCCTACGAGAGGTCTTCCAGTCCATTAATCTTGTGTTAAGTTTCTCGGCTGGAATGGTGGTTTATAGAAGTGATGCCAAACAGCTGTAAATGCAAGGCTGAGAACTATCTGTCCTCTTCCTTTAAGACTTCAGAAAACAACTTTCACTAAATTGGTAAATGAAGTTTTAGGTATTATTTTCTGATTAATGAAATCACCGTAAACTGCTACTTCTAGACTTCTGAATGTCATGATTTTATTTCTGGTCTTATTATATTTGTGTCTCTGAGTCTTAATGGCTAGAAATGCTTATAAGACAAAAGCAATGTATGTTTTTTCCTGCATCAGATTCTTTTACACCTTATCTTGAAGTTTGCATAACTGGTCACTTTCTTTTTTTTAAATCACTTTTTGATAAGAGAAAAATTTATGTTAGTTGCAGTCCAGGAAAGAGAAGGCACAAACACTGCTGATCAAATGTTACTAAAGCTTTTATGAACTCTTGAACCTCATTTTCCCTCCCATATGTACACAAGACGCACTTCATTCTTGCTGTTTATGCCTCTCGTCTAATAGAAACTTCACTTCTGACTCCAACCTTGTCTAATTATTAACACAGAGAGGTACTAGAAGTTGTCCATTAGCAAAGAAGAGAAAAATTATGTTTAGGGAACTAATTTTATAACAGCTTCAAATGGCTTTGATGCAACTCTGCCAGATGCCTCTTTTTATATCATCAAATACTTTGCTTTACCTTGGAGAATATTATCCCCAGGTTGGGACAGGAGATTTCCCATTCTTTTCATTATTTTGTTATGCAAAAAAACCCAAACAGCCAGTTGCACCTCTCGTAAATAATACATGTTTTCCTCTGCAGAACTGTAATCTATGTGACACCTACAACAAGGGACTGCTTGAGGAGTGAAAACCTGGCTTAACACAGACGTGTACTTCTTAGGGAATTCTGTATAGGAGGGAGGCAGTGATTTAGAAGACGAAAGATTTCATTCCAGAGATTGAACTGCCTGTACAGTTGTTCAAAATGCCTGATTCCCCAGATTTCGAGTACAGCAGAGAGGGGAGAGAAGCCATTTGGAAACACATAGGGTGACGAGTAAGAGTCTCAGAGATTTTTTTCTCCCCATCTGAAGTGTCGTATGCTCAGTTTGCTTCCCTTGCTTACATGTGGGACTGACCCCTGACTGTGCTGATAAGAGAAGAATAAGTAAGTAAACAGCCTCAGGATTTGAGGCTGATAGAGAAGTCACTTGGTTTCAGTGAACTGGACTGGAACACGAGCCTTTTGTTTGCTCTTGAAAGTTTAGCACTTGAATTTCAGGTTGGGCTGTTTAGTTCATTAAAGAAAATGTGGATGCCTCATGCCAACGCCTGTTTTCTTTAGGCCTTGAGAATAGAAGGCCTTGTGTATTCGGTACACACACACTAAGGGAACAGTGACTTAATTGTACCCTGGGAACAAAAGCCATTACCTGAGGACAAGATGGGGGACCCCAGGCCTCTGCTCGCTGTTTCTCTCTGCAGAGTCAGCGTTGCTGGGAACCTGGAGCAAGCGTCTGAACTGCTGCTGGTGTTTGCCTGTGACATTGTAATCATGGACTGGTTTCTCCTGGAGCTTAAACATGAGGGGAACTTGGCTTCTTGCGAAGAGACCCAGAGTCTAGGCCACATCCCCCACCCCCCAACACACACACACACAGGCCAGAAGCAAAGCAGGAGGAGAGGGAAAAGGGAACGCAGAGGGTTTGGTTCTCCCCATTTGATCTGTCTCCTTGCAGACGTTCCAGTGTCACAAATGGATGGTTGCATCCTGCGGTCGCCCATCTGTCTGCCAGCAGTCCAGCTTCAGCTGATGGCATGTAGAGAGCGTTTGCACACTTTCCTTACACGGTGATCCGCGGGCAGCACGTACGTGCCAATGAGAGCGTTTGGGGGCCTTCGGAGTTTTGGGGGATACCCTTGATTATTCTCTCACACGAAAGCGGTGCCTCTGTGTCCCTGGGATGGGGACATGGGGGTTGGAGGCCTCTCTCCTTCTGAGGGACTAAGTGGTTGGCTTTGCTGTTGGCTCGAGCCAGCTCTTTGGTTGCAGACCCTGGAGTCCCAGGGATCTTCCTTCGCGGGCTTTGTGTTTTCTTTTGCCTTTGTGGATCAGCCAAGGCCACCGTTTAAATGTTCTTTGTTCACTGGGGAGGATTCTGTCATGCCAAGGGCTGGGAATAAAAAAGTCCCAAGTAGACTTGATCGGCATTGGAAACTCCCATCCCTCAGTGGTTGTCTTGAATTTTGGTAAATCTAGACCGATGAATATAGTGGTTAATAATCATAGTAGTAGCAGCAAAAACAAAGCTGGCATTCATTAACCTCTCACACTGCCCCGTGGCCTTTATACATTAACACTTTTAATCCTCGTAGTAAGAGGTCTTTATTTTTTTTAAATGAAGCAAATGAAGAGCAAGTATGTAGACTGGGTTCTATGACAATGGCTACTAAATATAATATATTTTCCTTGAAGTCGTGCCATTATAAATGGGAGCCAGCTTTTCTCAAATTTCAATGTGCTTTTGAGTCACGTGAGGATCAGGCAGATTCCAATTCAGTAGGCGATATTGTTTGGATATTTGTCCCCACCCAGATCTCATGTTGAATTGTAACCCTCCATGTTGGAGATGGGGCCTGGTGGGAGGTGTCTGGGTCATGAGAGTGGGTCACTCATGGCTTGGTGCTGTCCTGGTGATAGTGAGTGAGTTTTGGTGAGATCTGGTTGCTGAAAAGTGTGTGGTTCCTTCCCCTCACCTTGCTTGTGCCCTCCCCATGTGAAGTGCCTGCTCCCACTTCACCACCCCCAAGAATAAAGGCCCCCTGAGGCTTGCCCAGCAGCCGAGCAGATGCCAGTGCCATGCTTATACAGCTTGCAGAATCGTGAGCCAATTCAACTTCTTTTATTTGTAATTTACCCATTCTCAGGGATTTCTTTCTTGCATTGCGAGAACAGCCTAACACCGTAGGTCTGGGTGGGGACTGAGCTTCTGCATTTAAAGCACACATCCAGATGAGGCCCATGCTGCGCCCACAGAACGCGTTGGGTGGTGAGGTTCTAAGCTAGAGATTGCCAAGCCTGGCTGAGATTCTGAAACACACAGCTCTCCTCCCACCTTCCAGATGCTGATTCTGAAGACAGGAGTTTTGCTTTTACAACACAGAGCAAACTGGGGTTCTAAGCTTATCTGTGATCTCTTCAAGGCCACACGGACAGTACCGAGGCTCCTAGGGTTCAGAACGCCTTCCCTCCTCGTAATACCTCTGACTGCATGTTAAATGGCTCTGACTGCATGTTAAATGGTATCGTGCTGAAGGCTGTGCACAAGTTCATGTCTTTCCTTCTTGCTGACATCTGCCACAGCTGACATCATGTCTTTCCTTCTTGCTGACATCTGCCACAGCTGACAACCCACCTCGGATGCCCAGGGGAATGAGCTTCATTTCCTGCCTTGTAACCTGAGCCAGGTCTTCCTCCAGGTGAGCCCATCGTGCACTGCACAATCCTCATAGGAGGCACTGAAGCTCTGTCTCTCCTGGATGGAAACCCTGCTCCCTAGAGAGATGGGGACACTGGCTTTCTGTTCATTGCACACAGTGGTATGGTAATATAACATCCAGAGATGATGGGAGAAGGAGCAGAGAGGGAGGGAGGGGTGAGTTTGAAAGAGTGGGAATATGTGGCCCTGAAGGAGGTGTGTTTGCAGAGAAGGACAGCACAGCTGAGGGCTTCCCCAACATGGCTGTGCTGTGCTGCCTCTTCCTGACCACCAAGGATCAGTCTTCTTGAAGAAGAAAGTGGCTTCAACTCCAGTCAGCACTTTATGTCAGTGTCCTGTCACCTCAGGACCCTGATCTTCTTCTCTAGTTACTTCTGTAAAGCTCCAGTACTCCAAATGTCCAGGAATTGACCAAGCTAGGGAGCCAGTGTCCAGGAATTGACTGACCAAGCTATGAGAAATGCTCTTGCAGGATTGACTTCATGCCCCTTATCTCTGTAATTCTAATGTGAGCTCACCTTTGATTATTTGGAGTTTTGAAGGTTTCTTTAGAGATATTTTCATTACTGAATGCTTAGGATTAGTTTGGGCTCCTTGTGACAGAAAACCTCAAATAATAATGACTTAAAGAAATAGGAGTTTATTTCTATATCATATAGAAGGAGTCTAGGCTGATATGGCAGCTCTGTGATATCAAAGACTTTGGCTCCTTTTATTATGCCACCGTGCTATCCTAAGCATGAGATTTTGACTTCATGGCCCACGATGACTGCTCATGCATTAGCCATCACATCTTCATTCCACCCAGCAAGAAGAAAGAAGAGAGAAAGGAAGGCACGTCCTTTCCCATGAAAGACATTCCTTGGATATTGCACACAATAATTCTGCTTACATTCTATTGGTCAGAACATAACAACATGGCCACAGCTAGCTAGTTATGTGGCCATAAGGAAATCTAGGAACAGTAGTCTTTTTACCAAATGCCAGATTCGCAGCTAAAAATTGGGATAAACAACTACTGTCTCTGCCTCATTGGAGTCTTAAGGTCATTCAGACCTAGGTAATGTTTGTATTTGGTCCAAAAATTTCCAACAGATGCTTCCCAGGCATTTTATATATGTCACGGGAGGTTTGCAGTCATGCTGGATCTCTTAATCGTTCCTCCAAGAGGAGGCAGAGCTGGCCCTGGTGATATTAATTAACCATGGCTTAATAATTTAATTAATTATGGCTGGCATGGAGTGCAAATATGAGGAGAAAACTGCTGGCTATCATCTAAGTTTGAAGGTAAAAGGTGGCCAGGCGCAGTGGCTCCCACCTGTAATCCCAGCACTTTGGGAGGCCAAGGTGGGCAAATCACCTGAGGTCAGGAGTTTGACACCAGCCTGGCCAACATGGTGAAACACCATCTCTACTAACAATACAAAAAAAATTTAGCCAGGCTGGTAATCCCAGCTACTCGGGAGGCTGACACAGGAGAATCACTTGAACCTGGGAGGTGGAGGTTGCAGTGAGCTGAGGTCATGCCCCAGCACTCCAGCCTGGGCAACAGAGCGAGACTGTCTCAAAAAAATAAAATGAGGCCAGGTGCGGTGGCTCACACCTGTAATCCCAGCACGTTGGGAGGCTGAGGTGGGTGGGTCACCTGAGGTCAGGAGTTTGAGACCAGCCTGACCAATATGGTGAAACCCCGTCTCTACTACAAATGCAAAAGAATTAGCCAGGCGTGGTGGTGTGCACCTGTAGTCCCAGCTACTTGGGAGGTTGAGGCAGGATAATTACTTGAATCTGAGAGGTGGAGGTTGCAGTGAGCCAAGATTGCACCACTGCACTCCAGACTGGGCAACAGAGTGAGACTCCATCTCACTAAAACAAAACAAAATAAAATAAAGTAAAATAAAATAAAATAAAGATAGAAGGCAAGATGCATACATTCATAACCGTTCTCTCATGCTGGCCTCAGCTTATTGGGGATGTGCAAGTGTGTTTGGAGCCCGGCAAAAGAGCTTTACAATAACAGTCACAGCAGGAGTAGAAAAACGGGCCTTGCTTCAGCACCAGAGGGAGTGCATGGGTCTGTGTCAGCATCAGGTGCTTTATGGGGTGTGGTGTGGGCAACAAACCTTAAGGAGTGTGTGGATTCTGAGATCCCAATTTCGAGAAAACAAAGCCCCGAGCTGGAACTCCCAGGCATGTCACTGTTCCTCCATGGGGGTTACAAAGGAGTAATTTGAAGAGTGACATCAATATTATTTAAATGTGGAGAATCAAATAGATTTTGAGAGCTAGTGCAGGGCTGAGTGGAAATTTTCCAGATTTCTGTAGAGATGAAGACTCATAAGAGGGCTGAATGTTATCTCTCCTTCCTGACTTTATTTGACCTGACAACAAACACAAATTTTTCCCTTTTGAAGAGAATGTACGAAGAGTGGTGGAAAAATAGGAATAATTTTCTTCGACCTAATCATCTCAAACTCAAACAAAACAACCCTCACATTCTCAGGCATTAAGGAGCTCCCTGGCAAGGGAAGTCCAGGGCGGAACAGAAGGTACAGATAGAATTTATACCACATGGGGCCACGACAGACCCAGCCATGCCTGGGAGGAAGGCTGCAAATGCAGTGAAGTCCTGAAACCCAAGAAGCCAAATCTCAATTTCACGTGCCTTACAAATGCCTTCTGTGGTTCAATGTTTTGCTTTTCCTCTAACAAGCTGAGGTTAGCGGTAGTCAGATATCTCAGCGTGAGCATCTCTCTAATGTTAGCATTCAGCATTCCAAACTTGGGTGGACTTCGATGAGCTCATTCTTCTTACACGTACACACACACACACGTACACACACGTACGCACACACACATACACACACGCGCGCGCGCACACACACACACACATGAGTCAGAGTTAATGAAAATGTGTTTGAGTTTGTGCTAAAGGCAAGCTGAGCAAATGTTTTCCTGCAGTGAATGTGTTACGTCATTATCTGTGCTAATAATTATAAGAATAAAAAGCAAAGCACAGTGGACTCCTATATTTGCTCTTATGTTTTCTACTGTCATCTAAATCATGTCTCTTCAGACACATGTTTGCTTCTGGGGAGGGTTTTATCTTGTCAAGTGTGTTTGTTCTTGGAGGCAGGAAAGCAGGCTTGGGTGACTGGTGAGCCTTAGTTGCATTTTGGCCTCTGCCCCTTATGAACTGCCTGTTACTGATAAATTACTGTGTGTCTCTGGATCTCGTTTTTTCGTTTTGTTTTATTTTATATGGAGTCTCTCTCTGTTTCCCGGGCTGGAGTGCAATGGCGCTATCTCAGCTCACTGCAACCTCCACTTCCCAGGTTCAAGTGATTCTCCTGCCTCAGCCTCCCAAGTAGCTGGGATTACAGGTACCCGCCACCACACCCGGCCAATTTTTGTATTTTTAGTAGACGGGGTTTCACCATGTTGGCCAGGCTGGTACCAAATGTCTGACCTCAAGTGCTCCGCCCTCCTCGGCCTCCGCGCCCGGCCCTGGATCTCGGTTTTAATTGTCCTACAGTAGAAATGACGGTGCCCTCCTTATAGCACTGCTGTGAGGATGAGGTGAGCTCCAGGTATGGACATGCAGGATGCAGCCCAGTGCCCAGCAGCCTGCAGCTGCCCCATAAATGGGCAATTCCTTTCTCTTCCTTGATTATCCTTTTGCCTTCTTTGGATCAAAACTTGGCTGCTCAGTGTTTAGGGGAAGAGATAATATTCTGGTTTGTCACTCAAATATGTACGGGAATCTGGTATGGAACTTAAGGTCAGTGAAGCGAACCTAAGAAGCTGTGTGTGTACAGCTGTGGTTCTCAAAGTGATGATAATGAGATGGATTATCAGAGACCACTCTGGACCTGCATCATTAGCATCACCACCTGGAAACAGGTTAGAAATGCAGATTCTCAGGTTCCACCCCAGACTTACGGAATTGAAAACTCGAGGTGGGGCCCAGCGATCCGTGTTTTAACCAGACTTCAGGTGATTTGAATGCATGCTAACTAACATCTGACAGCTACTAGTCTCTACATCTAAGTTATCAGGCTCCTTGAATCTTAGACTTCCCTGAGGAACATATAAAAATACAAAAGTATTTTAAAATACAAGAGATGCTGATTTAATGAGTCTGGGGCAGAGCCCAGGCACCAGGATGTTTTAAAAGACTCCATCAGTGATCCGGCACAGTGGCTCACGCCTGTAATCCCAGCACTTTGGAAGGCCAAGGATGGTGGATCACCTGAGGTCAGGAGTTCGAGACCATCCTGGCCAACATGGTGAAACCCCATTTCTACTAAAAATACAAAAGTTAGCTGGGCGTGGTGGTGCGGACCAGTAGTCCCAGCTTCTCAGGAGGCTGAGGCAGGAGAATTGCTTGAACCCGGGAGGTGGAGGTTGCAGTGAGCTGAGATCGTGCCACTGCACTCCAGTCTGGTGACAGAGCGAGACTCTGTCTCAGAAAAAAAAAAAAGAAAAAAAAAAAGGACACCACCAGTGATTCCTGTGTGCAACCAGGATTGAAAAATTCTGCTCTAAAGAATTTCTGTCTGGGTCTCTGCCTTTCCCCTCCCCTCCTCCTAGGGGTGGGGGTTGGAACTGGAGGAAGAATTATTTTGGAACAGGTGCTCAGAGGAGATGACAGGGATGCGGCGAGAAGCTACCCACAGGCTGTAGAACATTTCCATTGCCTTTACCTCATTTCCTGCTGCTCTGATATTTTTTGATGGCAGCCTTCTTCTGATTTTAAATGTAACTCATGCTCATGTAGAAAGTTTGAAAACAACATAGAAAACTTTGAAAGAGAAAATAGGACTCTCTCGTAATCCCATCCCCCAAAAGATCCCATTAAATGTTAACATTTTGCCGTATTAGCTTGCAACCTTGCATCTATATGTCCTTTTTAGTAGAAAATTAGGATCATACGGATGTATGTAGTTGCATGGCTTGCATTTTTAACCGAATATTACA